GCCGCCCCGCCGGCGGCGCTCGGGAAATATGAAGAGACGCTGCAGCTGCGGCGGCGGTGGCGGCCACTACAGCTCGGAGCGGCGCGCTAGGCGGCGGCGACCAGGGCGGGACGCGGTGGGGCCCGGCGCGGAAGGGACTGGAGCGCAGAGACGGCCGGATCGGGCACGCTGTGTCCACCGGCACCGAGGGAGCGCACCCCTCAGACCCTGCTCCACGTTACCTGGGTATGGGGCCCCGCGCTGCGGCCGCCTGATCGCAGGCTTGGCCCGGCCGCACGCGGGCTGGGGCCAAGAAGCGGAGTCGCTCCGGTGTCCCTGCGCGGGAGTGTTCGCCCTGCTCGGCGCTGCCGCCTCGTCGCGTTGTCCGTGGCGGGAGGCAGAAGGGCAGAGTGTGTGCGGGGCCGCGGCTGTTCCCCTGAGCAAGGGCCCAGGACGGCGAGCGGCTCGGGGCGCGCGGGAGGTCCCGGAGGAGGACTGGAGATGTCCTGTCTGTGCCGCCTCCTGCTCACATACCTGTTCCTGGCCCTCCTGCTTTACGGTGAGTTCCGAGGGGGAGGGATGGAGGAGGGTGCTGGAAACCCCGCGGCCAGCAGAAACCTCTCTGCAGAGCCATCTACTTCGGCGCAGCTCCCTGCCTCCGCGCCAGTCGAGCAGCGCCCCTGCTTCCTCCGGCTCAGCCCTGGAGAGGGACTCGGCGTTTCCTAAGCGCCGAGCCCCTCTCCCCTGGCGGCTCCCAGAGCCCTTTGGGGGCTAGTTTTCTTTCTGGAAGGGTGCAGAGCCTTCGCACAGAGACTCGTTTTATCACCTGAATCGATTGCTTCAAACCCTAGGGAAAAGTTTTATCCACTCTTGATTTTCAAGCCGTAGACTGTCATGAAATCGCAGGCTTTGCGATCCTGTTTCTCAAGTTTCAGAGTGCAAGAGGGGCTCTTGATGTGGTCCAAGCTTTTATGGGACTGTAAAGAGAAACTATGGTCATTTAAGCGGAAAAACAGCTTGCGGGTGTTTCTGTGTTCCCTTCCTTGGACTAGTGTTGGTTGCAAGGGTGGTGGTGAGGTTCTCTCCCAAGTAGAGTGGATGCAATTTCAAGGAGCAGGGGACTTCTGATAGCCAAGGCTGATAGCCAAGGTGTAATGATTAAAACCAGTCTCCTAAGTTCTTAGGAACATGACACCGTATTTCCCTCATACTCTTAATTGATCGTTTTGTCTCTGCTTCATGTGCCACATTTTTCTCAGGAGCTCTAGTCAACCTTTACCCAGAGAACGTCAGTGCTAAGTTCCAGGAATTGCCCTGATAAAAATAAGACGGAAATGCCTGGGGGTCACTAAGGCAAGCTTTATGGTAGATTGGTGTTGAGCATCAGGCCAGACAGTGGCAGCATGCATTGTGCGGATTCAGATGTCCTGAGCGCCCTTTCCCTAATGGTGGACACCTGACATTTCAGCAGTGTCTCCACCAGGAGCTTGGCTCTCCTTCCTCAGTACCCACCACAACCACCCGAAATCCCTGCAGATCAGATCAGCAGCCTCAAGGACGCTCTAAGTTCTGAACAGGACCTGCAACTGGATGGGGCTTCAGAATGCGTTGTAGCCAGCAGTGAAAATCAGGCTGTGACTTCCCCCAGAATATCTAGGAAGGTTAACCTACAAGCTGTACATGTCTATTTTCTTTGTAGTCCTGCTTGGGGCAGGGGGCTTAGGCAGCACAGTTCCATAGGTCTTGCAAAATGTTGGGCTGGGCCAGACCTGCCTGATTGCCAAGGTGTATTCTGAACTCCAGTGATCCCAGACTTTAAAAGTCAAGATGGAAGGCTTGCAATTCAAGGGCCAAAGAGAGAAGGTATAATTATAGGGTTGCACTCCTAGGCCCATCTGCTTAGAATTACAGAGCAGTTTTAATCTTTGGCTGAAACATGAAACAAATCAGAGCCAATGAACAGATCAAACAGCAGCTGCCACACACACCAGAAAAAAAGAGGACGAGAGAGATGAAACAGAGAAAACTGTCCCCTTAAAAAAATCTGTTGTAATATCTCTGAAGAGAAAGATAGCATGGTCAAATCACTTCAAAATGAAAAATTACTTGATATATCTCTCTCAGAGATGCAGCCTGGGCCAGTTCATAGAGATTTTTCTCCCCCCTCTGACGGGTGGATGTTGTAATTATACATCATACCCCACTGGCACAAGCTGGGGTTTTAATAGCTGTCAGGTAACAAGAATCCAAATATATCCTTAGTGAGGTCTGGTATAACCCCAAATCTCCAAATTTGAATCTGAGTTGGCCTAAACTCCTTGGGATCAGGGATTATTACCCAGACCCAGCTGTGCTGAGAGGAAAACAGTCTGCAGGGACAGAGTACTGAGGGGACCATCTGCACTGTAAATAAGAGGAAAGTGGGGCCAGACCCTGTGGTTGTGTGTGCACATGTACACACACTATGTGCATGTGTGTGTATGGCAAAGGATAAAAGATTTAAAAAAGAGGTTTGCAAAGTTGAATTGGATGGCATGGATAACCCTACAAAAAGTTATCCAATTTCATTTGTCTTGTTCGTTTGTTGCTATCAGTTTTATATCCCACATATGAGGGAAATCATATGGTTCTGGACTTTTTCTGTCTGACTTATTTCGCTCAGCATGATAATCTCAGGATCCAAACAAAGACAACCTCATAGATTCAGAGAGTTTAGTGCTTACCAGAGGGAAAGGGTGTGGGGGTGGAAGGGGTGGTAGGTAGAAAAGGGTAAAGGGGATGGAATATAATGGTGACAGAATTGACTTCGGGTGCTGAACACACAATGTCAATATACGGATTATGTATTATAGAAATGTACAGTTGAAACCTGCATAATTTTATTAACCAATGTTACCCCCAAAAATTTAATTTAAAAAAGCTATCCAATTTCAAAGTGAATCTACAATGGCAAAGTCATTAACACTGAATTCCCCCAAAGATCTACTTAGATCCTGCAGGGAGTGTTGAACTCTAGTGAAGGAAATAAACAGGGAATAATTGTTCAATGTATAAATCCTCAGGATTTAAGAAAGCCTTGTCATAATTCATTAGGATAATGTAGAACACCAGGAAAGAATTGGGTATTCCTCTTTTCCCCCTTTTCTGCCTGATATTTACTTGATTGAAGTAGTTTTAACAGAATATGGGTATTAATCAACCTACTCCAAGAGAATGGCTGTGTTGTACTATATAGTTACAGGTTTTGTAAACATTTAAAAATTCAGTAGTAACAGATGGCACTTGATCATATATTTTAATAGACTTTGTAAGTCTGAAAGAAATTAAATGAAATCTCCTTAGAATGGCTTAATAATTTTTTTCCTGATAAATAGGCATTTTATTTTGCTAACTATAGGACACCATTTGTCTATTTATGGTGGCAATTGGTAGATAAAAACATTTTCTGTGATTATAAATGTGACAAACATTAATAAATTTAATTTCAGACATCATTTATAGATTATTTGTTACACTAATAAATCACGTGAATATGATTAAAAAGTGCACAAGACTTTCATGAATATTCTGTGTGAGGATGCTATTATGTTTGGCATCAAATCTTTATTCAGTTTTTTGGTTACTTTTATTTCGACTCATTGAAAGTTATAAATCACCTTTAGATTCTCTTGGTGAATAAATTAAGCTTTGGCAAGACTCAAGTCCGTTGTTTACTTTTGCTGTTTTTTAAAACTGAATTGTAGTATAAGACTCAAATTCAAAAGTCGTTGGCATAAAAGTATACATGTCAGTGTTACTTTCCTCTCCCTCAACTTCTGAAAACAATTGCATTTCTTAATCCAAATAAAACCTATTGAATGTCATTGACGGTATGCAGCTGGAAGATGTCCATTATCACTGTTTTCTTTGCTTAGATGAAAAGCCACAAAAATCATTCAGCTCCAAAAACACAGATTAGCATGAGGTATTCCAGAATAAGTGGTGCTTTAATGCACAGCAAAGTGCTAATTCTCTTTGCTAATGGAAACGTTTGATTTTAAGTTTTGGAGCTGATGTTGGGAGAGATGGTCTCATTCCCCAATGCTGTTAACTTTTGTAGAATTCATTTACTTTTCTGAAAGGGGAAGCTACTTTTGAGCTATTTCCTTTCATTCAAGCATATTCTTTCAAAACGTTTAAAAACTGTAGCTTACCAAATGATAGCTTAACCAATTAAACTCAAGGAAACTTTTAAATAGGGTAAAAAAAAGAATCTTTAAATACCATTCTACTGAAAACAGTTCTTATAACCAAGGAAACATTGTCTTTCCTGCACCTTTTTCCCCTTAGTCAAAAAATGAAATGTTAAAAAAGAATATGACTCATCTGTACACAATGGGGCAAGGGTCTTAGATACTAAATACTATTTTGTGAAATAAATTGACTTGCTTCAAACATATGGCGAAGCCGATCTATAATTGCCATGTTCATTCTTTTTCTCCCTAAAGGAGAAAAGAACTAAATGTAAGTGGATGATATGACTGTGTAATAATACACTGCCTAGGGACAGACTGATAACAACTTCATATAATCAATTAAAGTAAAGCATAAAAAGTTTAAGACTAGAAGTATGAAAAGATAGGTTACTGATTATATACATCTGCTGAAAGCTTACATAGCAAGACATGTCTTCAATAGATTGCATATAGAGTTGATGTGATTACAGAGAAAACATCAATAAAAACCTGCCATCATCGTCGAAGTGTGGCTTCTTACTGTGTCAAGATTTTATGTGTACAGCTCATTTAGTTCTCGCCAATTGGGTAATAAAATTATTTTATTGCACATGATAAGTATTGAGGTTAGAAAAAGGATATGGCATCACCCCAAAATATTAACGGTATTCTGTTCTATAAGGGTTTTCCAGTTGCATTCATTCAGCTAACCATTCATTCAACAAGTACTTTTATGAGAGCCTACCATATACCAAGTGCCACTGCTTGCTAGGTTCAGGGGTTGTGAGCAGGAGCAGTCCCCTTTTCCTGAAGAGCCCTGAAGAATATCTAGGGGTGAAGAAGAAAAGCTTATTGCAGAGCCCCAGAGCTTTGAGGATGGCACCCTGTGGTCGACTGTAGCATTTTTGCTCCTGGGATTTGCAGCACCACACACACACACACACACACACACACACACACACACACAATTATGTACACGCACACCACATATGCTCACGACTAAGCTGAAGAGCACGGGTGTGGCAGCAGCAGTCAGCTACAGACCCAACATGCAAATTTAGCAATCTGTGGTTCAAACCCAGTGTCTAGCCTGGGGACCGTGGCATCAGAAGAAAAAGACATAGAAAATTACCTCATGTTCAACTAAAGTCAAATGGAGCCAAGAATTTGAAATCTTGAATTCATTATACTTCTCATAAAGGGAAAAAATACTTATAGACATGAAGATTTAAGATTGGCAAAAACAGCTCTCTGCTTTTATCTCAAAAAAAAAAAAAAGGGGGGGGGGGGGGGTGTGTGTGTGTGAATAAAAACAACAGCTTGATAAACACAGGTACCCGTATGG